CCTTTTATATCAAGAGGTTCTGGGAAGCAATGACTAAACCTTGAGAGAAGATGGATTCAGAGGAAGGTTGGACAGAGGCCTGGGTTGGTGGACATCTGCTGGACAGATAGCCTGTTCCCAGGCAAGTGACAGAACAGGAAACAAAGAAACTCCTGATGATCCCATTCTATGCTTTTCAAACAACTCTGAAATAAACCCAAACATATGTGTCTCTTGTCTGCTGCTAAAAATCTCCAGGAGGTAAATTCCACAGCCTTCTTGGGTAAACTTTTGGGCTTCTCACAACTCTTCTGAAAGTTGAGATGGTTTTCCTTATGTCTAATATAAATCTTTCCTGTATACATTTACTTATAAAAAAAAAAAAGAAGTGTGCTAACACTTCTCCAAAGCAATTCAAGTTCAACTATGTACATAACATGGCTCTATAATTTCATAGCTAAAGTATATATCTTCCTATTTTTAAAAATAGCATACATCTTATTATTCATTTTAGAAACCTTTAGTACCTACATAAGAAATACCATGAGCCCTTTCATTTTACCCTGCATTTAATTTAGCAATGGGTTTTATAAAGACTGCCTATGTGTGCAACTGAAAATTTTGCAATGCTTTCTTTCTTCTTTCCATACTTTATAACCAGAAAATAATGATACTTTCATAATTATTAGATACTGATGAATGTGTAAATATCTTAACAGCAATCCAATATCACTTCTGCTGAAGGAGACAGTGTCTCTGTAACTGAGAAGCTTGTAGGTCATTTCTGAGTGTATCTTTCCCCTGCTGTCTAGATACAATGACTATTTTAGGAACATTTGGCATCCAAAAAAATCCCAGCATTGTGCAAATTAAAACATCTGCTTATACTTTGACACCCTCATTCTTCAAAGGTTAGTTGGATTTGCGGTTGCTTTGTTCAACAAGACTGCACTAAGAGCCCAAGGATGCACATTTAATTATTGGGAAGATATGTTTGACAGAGCTGTGGGGGAAAAATTACCCTTCATATTCAGACCAGCATTAACATTTTTATAGAACGAGATTGCCTGAGAGTCAAAGAAGAGGGAAATCTCCAGGAAAATAAATATGAATCTATTTGGTCACTCGTCTTCTCCTACTGATTTACAAGACGCCAACCAATGACTCTTTGCTCTGTTCCCTAGAACTCATCAGCTTGCTGTTAAACTGGCATTTCTGATTTCTGCTGAGGTTAAAGACAGCAAAGTAAACTCTGCTTCCAACAATAAATAACAGAGGGAGTTATTCTTTTCATTCAAACAGGCTTTAGATCACAGCAGACAGCTACAACCAGGTGCATTTAGCAACATTTGTCATTGCCATGAATGCAAAACATGTAAAGAATCTGCTACAAATGGGTCTATATCCAGCCTTTTTCCACCTTAAATATTTTTCCATTTTTAACTGTGGCTGAGTCATTGTCACCCACCACTATCACCATAAGGAAGGGCTCTGATGACCTAGGTAATGCCAGCAACCCCTGACTGGTTTGTTTATTTATCCAGGTCAGCTGTGCCAGGTAGCAGATTGTAGCCTGGAAGGCTTTCTGTATCTCAAGCCAAAGATTGATAATCTTCTCCCTGGGCAATGCCGAGATAACACATGTCAAAAGGCAGCAGTGGCTGGTAAGCCAGCTCAGTACTCACTCAGCCCCACCCCTCTGCCTGGCCCCCTCTTGCTGCCGTCCTGTTCATTGCATTCCAGGGGCTCACAGGCCTTGACTAAGGGAAGAAGGGGATAGGAACTGTAATGCATCACACAAGCAGCAAGTGGGATTTGGGGAGACAGAGCCAGCAGGTGAACAATGGCTCATTTGGAAATTTGAGGCTGGGTGTGTGTTATTTGTATACTGGGGACCCTTTGTTAAGCTTGCCCAGCTGTGTGGACACATTGGTTGCTGGGGATGCTGCTCTGGAGCTGGAGATGAATTTTCAGAGAGTTCAGAGTTACTTCCCATCTAATTTGCACACAAGTTGAAGGAAGGCACTCTCATCAGGGACCTGCTGCAGAAAAGCTGCATGGTTCTGAGATTTATTTTCCTTCTGCCAAGTATATTATTTCCAAACTTGCCTTTTCAAGATCTTGCAAATTCCCTTGAAAGATGATTTAACAATTTCATGGAAACAACAGCAAAACAAAAGGCCATGTTGATGAGGGACAGAGGTAAAGTTGGGTTTGAAATGAGTGACGAACCTCGTAATGAGGTGTGCAGCTTTATATATTAAGCAATTTCTCTGCGATACTTTTCCAGATGTGATGGAATACATTTATTGTTGTGCTCATCTGAACTGAAATAATACAAATGAGATACTAAAATGATATCATTATGTGCAGAAGTAGGCTAAGAATTTAGAATCCCAACTCTATAAGTTAACAGCTGTGCATGAAGCAATTCTGAGCTGCTTGGAGTCTGCAGGAACCTGTCTAGCTCATATGGACTGCCCGTGATCTACGTGTGAATCCTGCATGTTGATAGTTCAAGGCTACTTTATTTCAGGCAAAAAATAAATAGCTGGTAGTAAGAAGTCTGTCTCCACTGAAGCCACAGTACAGTTGAAGACAGCCACTGCAGTAGAGCAATAAAACGGGATGAGTTTCAAACTACCAGATGGTACCCTGTACAGTGCCTGAAATAAAATAGAGAATTAGGGTGCCCCAAGGTGTGCACAGGAAAGGCAATTACATGAAATAAATGGGCCTCGGGCCTACAGGATGCTCAAGTATGCTACACAGGAGACATATAGTACATCTGGTGAACAGATTTTATCACACACTGGAAAGTCATAAAGCACGCCGTTGAATATTGGATCCCCATCTCACAATGACATTTTACCTGTGTTGGTATTCAGTGCTGTTTATTTTAAAAGGTGCCGTAATCTCAATGATGTGTTTTAAAAGTCTCCTTAACATTGTTTTCTACTCTCCGCCATTATAGAGGGGACAGATTGATACAATGCATGGAGAGCCTGTGGACAAATAGCCACTGTGGTCACAGGAGATCCTGTTCTTATTTCATTTATCTCATTGCTGATGTGATTTGAGTAATAGGATTATATTTGTCAGCACTCCCCATTTGGGAAAATGCCAACACATTTTTAATGCTAGTTCCCACATCTCTCTAGATCCACTAGCGTTTCCCTGCCCACCTGCCTCTCCCTTTTCTTAATGTTCAAAGAAATGGCTATTTTCCATAGTTGGGGAGTGTGTTGTGAGAAGGATTTGTTGACATGAAGGCCTTTCCTGTTTCTTCCTCCATGGAGGCAAACCTGCTTTCTGCTTGAAAATGGTGCTCTCCTTTCTACTGTAAAATGACTGAGAAACACATAACATTCATTATTGTTTTAAGAGTTGCTGTAATAAAATCCCCTCAGTACTTAAAGATAGTTTTAGTGTCCCTTCTAGGATTCATCCTCGCTTTGATAATTGGGTAATTGCGTCCCCTCCCCCACCAATAAATATTTTCACCCAATTAAGTTTAAAACTGTAATAAATTTTAAAGAATTATAGTCTAAAAATTCATACCCTAGAACCAGTATTAAGTATGAATATTTATCTGAAGCCGCTGTGCAGTGCAACCCGAGTAAATGCTGTCATACCTTCTGCACAGTGGCCCAGCTCCCAAAGCTGCAGCCCGCTGGTGGCTTCTAGAAAGCTTGGCAGGAGCCCCAGATGCCAGGCAGGACTCATGCCCTGCGCTGCCCAAGTGGTGATCAGACAAGCAATCCTTCACTTCCGTGTTTCTGCCTTTTTTGTTTCCAGACAGCATTCACTTTGTTTCCATTCATCCATTTCCCATTCACTTATTCACTTGTTTATTAGTTCATTTCTTCGTCCCTGGTGGCTAATACTGAGTGCAGAGAGAAGCACAGGATGAAAAAGGTCCCTGCTAGTGCACAGCGTACCTTCCACTCCCTTCCATTTGCTGCACAAACCAATGTGTCTGGATGTATCTTTCAGGCCTTCTGTTGGCCAAGCTCACATACTCTCAGGGCTAAAGGACAACTAAATTACACAGGGCAGTGTCCCTGCCATGTGGATGTGTAATAGACAACAGAGCAGCCCCAGAATGTTGGTCAGGAGTTCACATTTCAAACTCTAGTCCCCTGGAGACACTGGATCTCCTGTTCTCTTCTGTTGAAAACAGAAATTCAATTGCAACCTCAAAGCTGGTAAGTTTTGGCAACAGTGACAACAGGAGCCCTGGAGCCAAGAGGAAGGACAAAGGAGCACAAATGGCAGAGCTGAAGCCACAGCCTGGGAAAAGAAAAAATGCAGGACTGAAAGAGAGGAGGTGAACCAATTACTCAAGAAGAGAGAGGACCCAAAGGAGGAAATTAGGGTCCTGGCTGGCTGGTGAGGGGACAGTGAGCCCTGACTCCAACACTCACCTGGTCTTCTCGGACCTGCCTCCTCCTTTCAGCCACTCTGTCTTCTCCTCCTAGGCCAGCCCAGTGTACAGTGCTGTCCCTAAAGGCCAAATGTGTTCTTCCCTGGTCACCCCTTCCACTCCACCATCACAGCGTAATCATACGTCCCATTCCCACCCATCTGCACACAGGGAAAGCACGTGGCTGTCACTGGATGCCAAGGCAGTGGGATTCTAAGTGACACATGGTAAGAGAACAATGATTTAAAACCCCAAAACAATGACACTTAATCTGAAGGTAACATGGTTTGTGTTCTGAGCTCTGTCAATGAAGAGTGTGTCAATCATGATACTCAATTGGTAGGAAAATTATAGGATATTTAGGGGGAAATGTTATCTTCAACAGCTTATATAACTTTTGAGAACTTTTGAGGACATTAACAAGGAAGCCACTTTATAATTCGGGCCCATAATACCTGAAAAATATCAGAATCTAGTAATTTTGGCTCTTCAAAAACCAGGTGGGGGCATTGGTGGTGGCAATCAGAGTTTACAAAAAAAGAAATACACTAAAACTTGAAGTTCAACTGCTAACTGGAGCTAAAGCTGCCTGGCACTTGGCTTTTCATATCATACACAAAACTAGCCAAGATCATGGTATGATACTGCATGTTTTATTCACTCTGAAGTATTTCAGACAATGTTAATTGTTTTCAAAGATTTACAAAGTACATTTAAGAAATACATTTACGAAACAGTCTAAAACAAGAGCAGGACAAAAGGAGGGGAAAGAATTTGCAGAGATTGTCCTGTGTGTCTGGATTCAATTTTTACTGTATTCAGATTTTTCATCAGTTCTTAATAAGCAGTATAAGCCGAAATTGCGGGCAAGGGTGGGGGAAGAATGGTGGTGGTTGTAGATTTTTAGGAAAATAGCAGGAGAAACTATGTGGAGGAAGCTCTTGTTATGAATCCTGTAAGTTTGTTTCAATGCTGTCTCTCCAAGGGCAGGTTGGGCTACAGCTGGCTGCTTGCCGGTCAATGTCAGTTGGTGTGTTACTTGCCCTAAGGATGAAGTTTTCTGGAAAAAAGGATGAGACCAGAATTAGCCAAGGTTCCAGGGAGCCTCTCCAGTAGGAAGTAGCCTGAGCAGGTGCATAGAAAGGTCGTTTCCATGGCAGCTGTCACTAGGCGCTCTGCCAGGGAGGCTGTCTGGTACTTAGCAGGCTGGATGCAAGATGTCGGCATTTCCAAACTGCCCTGCTGTAATGCAGGCAGTTCTTGGGCAGCCCTGGGCTTTCATGGTGCAAGGCATCATAGCACTGTAGATACAAAGAATGGGTCTATCTCTTAGACTCATCTCAGCCTCGGTTCTCTATCCTATGAAGTGGGTGTGAAAATACTGCTGTTTTTCTCATAAAACTATAATGCAGGGTAAATGAAACATCCACATAAAAATACATTGCCAGACTTATAGCAAGAACTCAATGATGTTTAGCTGTGGTTATAAATAACTCTGTAGACAAGGACGAATGAACTAGAGGTACAGAGAGAGGGAGGAAATGAAGTTCTCCTGTAATGGAGCATTGCAGAAAATCATCAGGAGACTCAGATGAGTCAAACAACATTTGGTGGAAGCGTAGATGGAGGTGTGCAGGTGGTGAGGAATAGTTGCACTTCACCTGCTCTCCTCCTCATGTCACAGGGTTTTCTGACATTAAGGATCAATCACATCCCAGGGGTGGCAAGTGGTGAATGTGAGAGAAAAAAATCTAGAAACTGGCTTGTGGCAGTAAATGATGAGAACTGCATGGTGACTTAGCTGGTAAGTTCATGGCTACCAGTGAACATGTAGGGATAAAGACAGGGTAAGAGGGCAGACAGGTCCTGAAGTTAAATGTTGGTTATTAGGAAGGTAACTGAAGCCCAGACAACTCCCAGTTTTGATCCTAGGGATGTTGTCGATGTCTTTCAAGCAGATCAGAAGATCTAGCCTCCACATGTGAATAAGGGTTGGTACAAATGGAAAGGTTTTATGCTCAGAAGAAATTGTTGCTATTGAGGGGCAGGAGGAACCAATTCAGAAGGGCCTGAATGAATATAAATGACATCAGATGTTTGCATTCAATTTTCTAAGGTGACAGAGTAAAACACATTTTAATTTAATTTCCAGGGAAATAAGAAGTATAGTAAAAATATGCATTTTTAATTGATCTACAGACAATTCTAAAATGTTCTGGAGATAAAAATGATTGAAAAAGACCTGATCTGTCAGAATTCACCAGCAGTAATGTAGTATGAAGCAGAAATGAAACGAGACTGTAGAAAGGTTTCCATTCCCATCTTATTAACTAAACAAATATGAGATTTGTAAGGTTTAGCAATCAGCAAACACCACACTAAAGTTAGTTCCCTATGCTAGATAACAGAATAATAAGATATATAATTTTCCAAGCTAAAAAAAGAAGAGAAATAGAAAGAGAAGCTAGTAATTATGAGAACAACACTTATAAATGAAAAGTCCACAGATGCATACCACATTTTCAGCTATCATTTTGGAAGAAATGTCTATTTTTTACTACCCTTTCTTGGCTTACTGTCTTGAATTCTATCTCTTTGACACCATTAAATCTCCTTTATCAAAAATCAGTGGCCAAATCTGCTTACCTGTGTATGTAACTACTTGTTAAATGTACATTTATTATGGATCCGTGACATTTCGGACTCTGTTAGGTATTGGCTGATATCATTCTTGCTCTCTGAGAGTTTACAATCTGGAGGAAAGGCATATGATCACAGAGAGATAATACACCACGAGGCAGGCAATCAGTATTATGGTTCTATAAAGATAATGCTTTGAGGATATGACACATGAGACAAGAGCTGTGAATTCTCATGGGGTGGACTGAAGGGCCTTCATGGGTGTTCAGGATTTCATCAGTGAGGGCAGGGTTGTGAGCAGATTCTGTAAGCAGAGAGGATCAGGAATGAGCCGGGATGTGGTGAACAAGTTTCAGAAAGCTTGTGGTGGTGGAAAGGGCAGCAGCATGGAGGAAGCACCTTCCCATTGTGGAGGGCCAAGTTTCATATATGATGGATTCTAAATAGAACAAAAACACTGTTCTCAGAAGTTCTCAGAAGTGGCATAGAGAGACAAATAGTTCTGGAGCAAGATGACAATGGCCTGGACTGAGCCTCTTATTGAATCTATAATAGACCAAATGGAACAAGGAGGCATTGGGGTTGGCAGACACTGAGGATGGAGAGTGAACAAGGCCAAAGGATCTGTTGGGAGTGGGGAATGGGGAAGTGGTTAGAAGAAAAGGTTCTTTTCATAGTTCCCATTCTTTTCAGCCTTTCTCTCCCACATGACATTGCTCACTCCTCCTGCCTTCCAGAAGCTCTCTTCTGTTTCCTTTAATGAGGCAGCACTACCCTGCTTCTTCAGGTCATGAGCAAAACCTTAATAAATGGCCTTCGGTAAGAAGTTTGGCTCTTCTTTCCAACACTTATCTCTCCGAAAGATTAATTGATTTATGTGTCTCAGGTCAAGTTTGAGTTAAGTGGTAGATCTCTGAGACCATGAGACTTATCTTAGCTGAGCTGAGTTCCATTCCGCCCAGCCCCCACCCCTAAGAAAAGACAGAGGTAAGAGATTTGGTTGCAGGTGTGTACAGATATAAGCTTTGGGAATTGAGATGTTCCTAAAACTTTCTTGGCAGGGGAACTAATGCTTCATACCAGCAGGCAAAAATAGTTTGAAGTTCATTCCCAAGATAGTGAGTTTTAAATAGAGATTTGATTTGAAACGGTGGACAAATAAATCTTCATCCCAGGCATCCACATGAAGCACACATTTGATCCAACAGACAGCAATGAGTCCTTAAGCGCTGTAATGACCCCTCCTGTCAGGGTATTTATGAATTTACAGAGCCTTCAGATATCTGGATCTTGTGCAAGCATGATAAAAGCCCTCTGAAATTTTTGCTCAAATAAATGAGTGCTCAGCTAGCTGTGTTTCTTAAATTAAATGACTCAGCCATTGTTCACTTGTAAAATACCCAAGAGTCCTAGTCTATATTTTCGAGAAATGTGCTGCATCATTTCTGTTGGAAGAACAAAGCAGTTTGGGGGCTGGAAATCTAGCTAGGAAATCACTAGCTTCTATTTTCGCTTTTCACACAGCTAACTTAATATGAAATATGCTGCTGAGTGAAAGTTTTTCTGGCAGGCAGTTCTTAGGTCATATCTCTAGTGACAAACAAGGGTGCTAGGAACAAAATAGTTTTGTATCTGAAAAACTGATTTGGGACATAGGTTAATAATATTAGGAACCAAATATTTTGTTAGACTGTTAAGTGATAGTGCTCAAAAGCTAACAGTTGTAGGAATGGAAATATCACCTTTAGAACTATTACTGCATGCTCCCTTTTCCAGCAAGTGGTTGAAGAATCTTTTGTTGTCATCATGCAAGCCCTCTTCTTGGATAAGGACAAAATTTAATAGTTATTCTTTGTATCTTCACAAAATGATTGGTATGATATAGATTCAAAGTACTAACCCTTTGTATTCAGCATTTGAGGCAAAATATTTTATATCTACAAGGTGTGATAGAAATCTCAGCATTTAAACTTTTAAAATTTATTACAGTAAACAATATGTTGGCACCAATTCCCCTTAAAACATTCCCCCTCACTTCAAACACACTTATCCAGCCTTTCTTGCCACTTTCTAAAGCAGTTCTGGAAGTGCACTTTAGTCGTGTTGTCCTGGCTGCCTCAATGTCCTGAATCAGTTCAGGCATTGAATCAATTCAGTTCAATTTCCATGGTCATTTTGACTATGAAGAAGAACCAGAAGTTTCATACTGCCAGATCCAGAGAATAAGGTGGATGAGGACACACCATAATGATTTTGACAAGCCTGCTTTTCCATTGGATGGCACATGGCAGCAGCATTCACCATACTTTTGATTATACCTCACAATGACACTCACAAGAGAACTTCTAGAACTGCCTCAGAAAGTGGCAAGAACAATGAGATAGGTGTATTGGGGGGGCATTTTAAGAGGGGTTAATGGTGATGTGTCTTTTACTGTAATATTTAAAAAATAATAATTAAATATTCACCATATATTTTGACCACCCTTTGTAAGTTGTGATAAGTAAAGCTCTGTGTGTTTGTGTGTGTGTGTGTGTGTGTGTGTGTGTGTGTGTATGATGCTAGAGATCAAACTAAACAAAGGCCATAGGACACACTAGGCAAGTGCACTACATTACCACCGGAGTACCTTTCCAGCCCAAATGAAGGTTCTGACAAGTAGCTGGTACTAGAACACTCCAATGTGCCAGAGGACACTCTGGATCTTCTGCAGGTCATAAACCAAGGCCTTGACTCAACTCAAAATCAGAGACCAAAGATTTTGTGATTTGTGTAAGTCAGATAAATCTAGTCCCACAGGGATAAATGGTTTACAACAACAGAAAAGTGTTTCCTTAATCTATACTTCTGTGTGATGCAATGTTGGAAAGGGATGAATGTAATGTTTCTTTCCTTAAGTAGTGAAAAGAGCACATGAATATAACAATGGACATGCTTGGAGGAAAGTCTGTCAGCTTGAGCAGGGCTGCTGCCTTTGTCACCACTGTGTCCTCCCAGGCGGCCTCCTAAGTCCCCAGGAGAGAGGCAGGGTTCTCTAGTTTGCTGGTGTAGAGCCAGAGGAGTTGAAATAAGCGCAGAAAGGCCTGTACCTTCTATCACTGCCAAAAATGATCTACCTTGCCTTCAAGTCAAGCCCTCTATGTTGAAGAAGAAGTTATTTCTTAACATATCAAAAGAAAACTCAGTTCTCCTAAAGAATCTGAAATGAGCAGCCTCAGGTTCTACTTACATATGATTTAAATGATTAATCAGGGAACATAGCAAAGCCATGTACAATAGAGGCACTTCTAAGAATGACACAGATTTCCACTCAGAGAGTGCAGGTAGGCATTTAGAGAAAAAAATGGAAAAATGGTTAAGTCAGGAGCACTGGGCAGCAGATATAAAAACTTGATTCTAAAAAGACAAAGGAATTCAATG